CTCCCACAGACCTCATTCTACAAATAGCACTGAGGCAGAGTTAATGGCTAATACGGTTAAGAGATCATTTCACAAGTCTTTAGAAAGAAAATGAAATGAACTTCTTATTAACCTCATCGCATTACACTAATACTACGCCTAAAATTCTATGTTACGAGTCGCAACTCTCAAGCATACAATAAATCAGAAAACCTGCTAACAAGCATTGCAGCTGAAGAAAATTCGTCAGGATCATTTGATGCAAACTGCACTATTGAAGACCGATCCTCTAAATTCGCAGAAGTATTTAAAACGAGTGCTCCAAAGTGAAAAGAGTTTGGCATGTTAGCACTTAAATCATTGGTACTATACAGTTGAAGACTGTTTTTCAATCTGTTTCAGTCTCCCAGACCGCACAACAGAAGCCTTATTAAGTCCCAGACTTATATTTTTTCTAAAATAATTTTTAATCGTTCTGTCAACAGATTCCCCACAACATTAATTTTAAAAACCGTAAAATAAACGAAGTATTGCGCAGTTTTCTGCCCACTGAGATAGCTGCAAATTCCTATAAAAGCTCTATAATAAGAAAAGAAATCAGTGTTACAGCAGATGAAGAATAGTCCAACCTTTACACGTTGTGAATTCTGAGTTACGGCACTTCTCTGAAGCAATAAAATTTTTTGCGTGGATCATCGGGGTAAACACAACATCAGCAGAGTACTTCCGTACGAGGAGACGGAAAGGCAACCTAAAACAATAATCCGAATGACCAACCCAGAATATAACTTTGAGACCTCAAGAACGTAACCCAAGGGAAGAGATAAAACTCACTTAGAATAACGGACCATTGGAGCAGCAACCATCTTTGGAATCTTTTGCAACTCCAAATTAACACTGTCTTTATTAATTTCAAGAGTTGGACGCCTTGAACACGAGGGCTGGATCCGAATGACATTTGAATCATCAACAGCTACACTGTCTGTATAATCCATCTCTTTAACTTGCTAAGAAAAAAATTTTGAATTACCGCAGTAGGAAATAAACCTTGCAGGAAAGTTGCTTAGGCGAAGAGCATTCATCAAAAAACAACAAACTTTTTCAACGGCACCGGTACTTCTAAATAATATACTGTTGAAATATTATGACAAAAAAAGCACCAAAAATAATCAATATGCTCGTCAACACTATAGCAACGTCCCTTAACCTCGAAAGAATGCCATAGCCTCCAAATTACACAAAATATCAAGCCGCTGCCACATCAGTAACATGAAAAATCGAAATTTGCGATTAACATTCTCGTAAGTGTTAACGCGTTAAAGGATATTTCAATAATTCGATAACAAAAACATTTTCTTGGTTTATTACTACGAGAACTGTCAGTAAAGGAATGAGATTAACAACTGTCACACTATACAAAAATTCATTGATAAGAGCCCCTCTTTCTTAAAAACTGTGAAAGAAAACATGAAGCAATCCTACTCTCACTACACAAATTTAAACTTGTACCAAGAAAAAAAAACAAATACTGCTTAGTTTACTTTTCAAAACAAA